GAGAGAACCCCTGCCCGGGCTGTTCCCACCACCAGCGTGAGGCCGGCAGCACCGTCAGGCCCGTAGGAAAACGCTGGAGCGCCCCAAACCCAACACTTTCGAAGGAAACCCCCTCCCCCGTGGCCCAGAGCCGAGGCCTCGCTGGAGGTGGGGTCTGCTGCTCTCCTGACTGCAGAAGGAAGGACAAGAGGCGTTTCCAACCCACGCTTTACTCATCCCCTGGGGTTCGGGCGCCGGCCGCAGGGCAGAGGCAGGAGGCGACCCCGCTTTTTTTTCCCCTCCTCCCGAAAAAAAAGAAACACACCAAGAGAAACACAGGCTAGGAAGTCCTCCGGGCGCAGGACCCGCGCACCTAGTCCAGGTCGTTGGCCGTGTCTTCGTCTGTGAGACTCTGTCCGTTCACGGCCGGGAAATCGTACCGGCCTTGGGATAAATCCTCAAAATCCTGACTCGTGGTGGGGGAGATGATGTCGGGGCTGGTGTCGCAGGACTCGGTGCTCTGCTCGGAGGTAGCGATGGTGGTCGTCGTGCTCTTTGGGACGGGGTCGAAGTCGTCGTCGTCTTCTAGGATGGGAGATTCGTGGATGTCTGGAAGGGAAGGTGCAAACGTTAAGTTTTGTGGCCGCACAGCAGCTATGAAAGACCCCCCCCGGCAGAGCGACTGGTGAATCTCTAACTCTAAAATGTCTGCTTGGAACAGTAATTAAGATGAATAATGATGCCACATAAATTAGCAGCTTTGTATAACTTCTTGCCACCACGTTTAATATTAACAATGATGTGCTCCAGGCTTTTAGCGCGGCAGCTGGGACGTCTGGTCAGCTTCTCCCACCTTCTGCAGTCGTGGGAAAAGGGATTTTTTGCACAGGAAGGGATGGGAAACGTGGCTTGGGAGGAATCACTCACTGCTGAAAGCCTCCGGGTACTGCTTCGCCAGCTTCCCTTTCAGCGTCCTAGGGGAGGAGAGAGCGAGTTGAGTCCACAGAGAAGCAGCTCCACGTGGAGCTGAGCTGCCTGGCTGGCTCCCTGCGATCCCAGGGGCCCCTTGGGGCTCCCTACCTGGACCCCAGCTCGCCCTTTCATCCCTTCCA